GGACACTGCTGGGACACCTGGGGTAGGAGGGGCTTCAACTGAAGCAATTTCTAGGGCTTTTTTCACCTGCAAGATGACAGAAAGCTCAGCAGGGTGTTGAGGCTCTTGGGTGACCATTTCCTGCTTCCCTCTGTGCCTGTGAGGGTCTCCCCCCATCTCAGCCCTGCTCAGATCTGTGATCCCCAGTGCAGAACCCCCATCATATTTAATTCTGTGATTCACTGAACCAACAAGAGATATCTCCTTAACCTTGCTGATAACAGACTGGCAAAGCACTAAAATTGATTTAGTTCATTTTTTTTCCCCAAAAAAATCATTATAGTGATTTCCCCAAATCTATACATAGTATAGACACGAGGCTGGTTAGGATTAGGAAGGAAAACTTTATTTAGGAGTCGATTTTCTTTCCCCCCCAACCCTGTACCATCCCCATGGATGTCCCGTGATGGGTCTGGAACACACTGAGCTCCAGCCTTGAAGCTCCTGTCTTTTTGGTGCATGTGCAGGCTGGGTGGGGGGCACAGCAGGATGATTGGGGATGATCTGATGGGTCCTGGGCACAGCAGGATGGTGGGGGATGATCTGATGGGTCCTGGGCACAGCAGGATGGTGGGGGATGATCTGATGGGTCCTGGGCACAGCAGGATGGTGGAGGATGCCCTGCTTTGAGAGATCTGACCTGACTGACTCCTTCTGTTCTTGGGCAAATGGTGGTTGCAGATCGATGATGGCGAGTCTGAGGAGGAACAGGAGTCTGTAGAGTCTGGGGAGGAGGAGGAGGATGGAGACGAGTCTGACTTGGTAAGCTGGGCTGCTAAATTGTCTTTCAGCCCGTGGCCTGTTGATAATGATTCCCCCTTTGCACTGCTGCCAGAAAGAGAGAGAGCAAAGCGGTGCAGTTTCACCTCTCCTTGACAAAACTCACTCTCTGAAACCACCCACACACAGAGTATTGTTTTCCACAAGGTGCTTAACCCTGATCTGTGGTACATTTAATTGCTTTCTGATGCTAACTAATGAGGGTTTGTTGTTTTCAACAAAGTGTTGACTGCTTTTAATCGTTTGAATGTTGATGGAAGCTTAAGGGTGCTTGAATTCTTCAGATGCACAGTTGGCAAGTGGAGCTGGTAGGAGCCAGCAATGCTTCCTTACCAACCTGAAGCTTTGCGGGGCTTTTTGGAGCTCGGGTGGAGTTGTTCCCAAACCCATTGGCCCAGCCCACAGCCTAAATTCACACTGATCTGACATCCACCTCGCTCCAGATGAGCAGCTCTTACCAGGGAGGCTTACAAATGGCACACAGACAGACAGACAGACAGACAGACTGACCCTCTCCCTGGGAGGTTGGTTGTGTAGCACGAGGTCAAGACTTTCAGCTGGTGCTGGGGATTTCTGTTTTTTTTTTTAGTTAGTTGGTGAAAAGAACCTGATGATTTTTTTAGTTTGAATTGCTATTCGTTGTTTGTCTCTGTCCCCCACCCTCCCCTTTACTTAAGAACTTTGCTCCCTCTCCACAGCCTCTCAAGTTGAGGAGCCAGCATTTAAGGCACCCCAACTCTTCAGTCACCTTGAGAAAATTCTTGGCTTCATTTTCTTGATGTTTTGAGCTGAAGGTAGAACCATAATTACAAAATATACCAAATGAATCATTGAAGCTCTTTAGGACCTTGTTCCTCCTGCCCTGACACTCCAGGAGCCAGAGAGGAGTGAGGAGCAGGGGCTGGGCAGCCTCCCCTTTCCCTGGGCAGCTGAGGCCAGTCTGTAGCTTTAGCCCAAAGCAAGGGTTGAGTTTGTGCTCAGTCCAACCTCCCAGGTCATATCTCCCCATGCTGGGTGGTGGTTTGTACTCTGGTGAGTCAGCCAGTTCCCCAGACAGGGTCTGGCTCGAGCACAGAGCTCTCCCCCACAAGCTGAGTGATGCAACTGGGGTAAAGCCACGTGGTGAGCCCACACTTGTTGTGGGGCAGCGTTTCTGTCTTTCCTCGCTGTGGGAACAGCCCATGGTGCAGCTGCCTATGGAGGCAGGACCTGATCCAGCTACTGTTAGTGCTAGCAGAAGGTTTTTCCTAGGCTTTGATGGGAGCTGGATAATCATCAGCAGCGGAGAATTTCAGCTGGAACACGAACTGTGTGATGGATGCCTTGAAGGCTGCCTGACGGGGTTGTGGGGCCTCGTTCCCCATTCTGATGTTGACTTTGAAACCCCGCCCCAGACAACTGTATTTTTTCAAGCCCCAACCCAAACTCTGTTTAGGTTCATACATGTGGCTGAATATTTGCTGCATGATTAGCCTGTGCTACCCAGTGCCTGGCTCAGGGAGGGGGATGTTCTGCCGCTGAGTTCCCCTGGGTCCCTCCCAGCCCTGCCAGGCTCTGCAGGTGCAAGGCGGGTTTCTTGTTGGCATTTTCTAACACAGCTGTGGAGAAATGTGAACATTTTAGTTTGAAAACCCCACTGCCAGAGCTCAAGGAGCGTTTGGACAACACTCTCATGTGGAGGGGCCGTACAAAGAGTGGCTGAGGGCACTGGGTTTGCTCAGCCTGGAGAAGAGGAGCCTGAGGTCAGACCTCAGTGGGGTCTGCAGCTCCTCCTGAGGGGCAGCTCCGATCTCTGTTGTGTGTGAGCAGGGATGGCCCCCAGGGAACAGCTGGAGCTGTGTCAGGGCAGGCTCAGGGTGGATCTCAGGGAAAGGTTCTTCCCCCAGAGGGTGGTTGGCACTGAACAGGCTCCCCAGGGCAGTGGGCACAGCCCCAAGGCTGCCAGAGCTCCAGGAGGGTTTGGATGATGCTCTGAGGGACAGGATGGGATTGCTGGGGTGTCTGTGCAGGGCCAGAAGCTGGACTGGATGGTCCTTGTGGGTCCCTTCCAACTCCAGATATGATGTGATCCTCTGATTCTGCCATTTTTTGGGAAGCTGGGAGCATGTGTGTGCCTGCACCCCTGCAGTGCTGCACAGAGGTGCTCAGCTGGTGTGAGAGAGAAAGTGCCGCCTGCACTACAGAAATGACAGGAAATACACCCACACGTGTGCCTGGGTTTCCTTTTCACTGCTATAAAGGCACCTCAGCACCCCTTGGTTTCAAACCCCTGGTCCTTGGAGGCCTTTCTGCGCCGCTCAAAGCTGCACAAAGGCTCTTCCTCACGGGCACAAGGAGCTGCTGGGACACTGGTGCTGACATGCCTGACGTGCACGTGGCCTCTCTGGTTCTTCAGAGCTCGGAGTCCAGTGTCAAGAAGAAGCTGCTGAAGAGGAAAGGGAAGACGGACAGTCCGTGGCTGAAACCCACCCGCAAGAGGAGACGGAGGAATAAAAAGAAACAAGCCAGTGTTTTAGGTAACTAATGGTGTTTTGGGGCTTTGGCTGCACCCAAATCTGCCTTCCAGGTGGAGGGAGAAGGACTCATGAGGCCTGTGAGTCTCTTCCTTCCCCAGGTTGGGGTGTGATAAACCAGGGTGTGAACTGGCAGTCACTGCTGGTGCCACTTTAACACATGAGGTGGCTTTGTCCTTGCCATGCTGGAGGAATATTAGTTTGTTCTTGAACTCCCTTTGTTTTAAAGTATCCAGAAAAGGCTTATAAAAAGGAGGAAGGTGGACCTTTTATATAGATAGTGACAGGGAAAGGTGGAATGGTTTTAAACTGACAGAAGGCAGGGTTTGATGGGATCTTAGGAGGAATTTTTTTACTCAGAGGGTGGGGAGGCCCTGGCACAGGTTGCCTAGAGAAGCAGTGGCTGCCCCATCCCTCGAAGTGTTCAAGACCAGCTTGGATGGGGTTTTGGAGCAATCTGGGGTAGTGGAACCCATGGCAATGGGGTGGAACTGGATGATCTTTGAGGTCCCTTCCAACCCTAACCAATCTGTGATTCTGTGATTCTGTGACTCGTGTGGACTCCTGCCCCATGAGCTCAGGGAGCAAGTTTAGATGCAGAAGGAAAAGAAAGAACCACTAGTTGTGTTCCATTGCTTTTGTATGAATATTTGTGCAGCTGAATGAAATGGGCAGGTTGGCTTTGCTCATTCTGAAAGCACTGCAGTGTTTGTAATGAGCTGCCTCTGAGCTGCCTCTGGCCCATCTCAAGTGTAAGCTCTTGTTTGTCCTAAGTTACCCAGCACTCAGAAGCTTTCAGTGGCCTCTGTGTGCTGAAAGCTGGGGGTTGGGGCAACCAGGAGTGCAGGCTGGTTGTGATGTCCTTCAGGAAAGGTCACACCATGGGTGAAATACAGTGGAGAGTGTCTGAAGTGCAGCTGTGCCTCATAACTAAGGTTTCACATATCCTTTGCCACCAAAGGGTTTGTTGTTCCACTCCTGCTAATTCAGTGCAAACAGGCCACTTTTGTATCAGCAGGTTTGTGGCTAATTCTGAGTTACTTGGCCATGTTTCAGCCTCTGGCCTGTGCTTGGGGTCTGTCAGTCACCTGTCTTGCTCCTCTTCCTCCCTAGATGAAGTAGGGACCATTGCTCCCTTTCACAGCAAACACCTAATCCTTCATTTCAGATGCAGACTGGTTTTCTGCCCCTTTAGTGAAAGTGGCAGCTGCTCTTCCAGGGTAACCAAACTCTCTTGGCCAAGCTGGAGTGGGAGAAGCAAAGTGAGGGAGAAAGTCAAGCCAAGGGGGTGCGAAGTGATTGATGATCCCCACTCGGGCTCTGTGGGGTCCCCACACAATCTCTGCTCAGTGAGGGATCCCCAAACAATCCCTTCCTAGTGAGGGCTCCCCACACAATCTCTTCCCAGCAGCAGCTTTGTTCACTTAGAGCCAGAACTTGGCTTTTAAGAGTTTCCCCTCCCGTTAAGCTGAATGTCACCTGTCTCGTCCTCTTCCCGAGGCGCACGAGGGGGTGGTTGGCTCTGCCTGGCTGGAATGTTGTCCCTGAGCCCTGTGCAGCAGGTTGGAGGCAGGAGGATGCTCTGGGCCCCGTTCCATCCCTTCCTTGTGCCGTTGTAGCAGCAGGCAGAGGTGCCTTGCGGAGGCAGAACTTGTCTCATTGATTGTTTTCTCCGGTTGTTTCCTGCCTGAGCGGAGGTGGGAGCCCTGTCTGACCAGCTGGGGAAGGGAACCAGCCGTGCCACGTGTGCCCAGATGTTTTGTTCCCATCATTCCTGAGGAGCCTGCACAGAGCCTGGTCCCAGCCACGGCCTGGCACCCTGTGGGGTGGGTGGTGCTGGTGGGGTTTGTGTGAATCCCCCTGTTCCCATCCAGGTGCCGAAGCCTATAAACCATCACTGGGCAGGGAGGGCCCGGGCCAGGAGAACAGCATGGAGTACATGGAGGTGTCCCTGGATTCCCTGGACCTGCGGGTGAAGGGCATCCTGTCCTCGCCGGCGGGGGGTGAGTGCTGGGGCTGGGTTTGGGGCTGGGACACAGTTTGGGGTTGGGGCTGGGGCTGGGTTTGGGTTTGTGAATGGGTTTAGGGCTGGTGGGTCTGGGGACAGGCCCTGAGTTTGGGGCCAGGTCTGGGTTTGGGACTGGGTTTGGGTTTGGGATTGGGTCTGGGTTTGGGGCTGGGTCTGGGTTTGGGGCCAAGTCTGGGTTTTACTCTAGGTCTGGGTTTGGGTTTGGGGCTGGGGCTGAGTTTGGGGCAGAGTCTGGGGCGAGGTCTGGGTCTGGAGCCATGTCTGGGGTTGGGTTTGGGGCCGGATCTGGCTCTGGGTTTGGCTTTGGGGCCGGTTCTAGGTCTGGCTTTGGGGCCGGGTCTTTGTTCCGTGCGGGGCCCCGGCTGCCCCCTGGTGGCCACGGAGTGCGATGGGAATGGGGTGGGATTGGGATGGGATGAGGATAATGATTGAGATGGGGCTGGGATGGAATGGGGATAGGGATGGGGTAGGACTGGTCTGGGGATGAGCATAGGGGAAGGGATGACCATAGGTATGGGGCTGGGACTAGGCAGGGGATGAGGATGGGGATGGGGATGATGGTAGGGATGGGGCTGGGATAGGAATATGGCTGGGATGGGGATGAGGATGATGATAGTGGTGGGAATAGGGCTGGGATGAGGATGAGACTAGGGATAGGTCTGGAATAGGAATGCTGCTGGGGCTGGAGTGGGGCTGAGAATGATAGGGGTGGGAGTAGGATAGCAATGGGGATAGGTATGGGGATGATGATAGGGCTGGGGCTGGGATAGGAATGGGGCTAGGATGGTGACTGTGTTGGGTTTGGGATGAGGTAGGGATGGAGCTGGAATGGGGATGAGGGTGAGGATAGGGAAGGTGTGTGAGGATAGGGATGAGGCTGAGGATGTGGCTGTCCCAGTTCCAGTGGGGCACACTGGCTCAGGAGTCTGAAGTACTGGCCCAGCCCTCCTGTCCCACTGGGCATCTCCCCTCCATTCCCTGTGTGTGCTGATTCAGCATCCCCCCAAACCACTGTCTTTGTGCCCCCAGGAATCACTTGTTCATCCCTAGGGGAGGGGAGGGGTGGTGCTGGGCCCTGGGTGCTCAGCCCCAGCTGCTGTTCCCAGTGCTGAACCTCCCTCAGCTCCGGCACCTCCTGCCTGGGCTGAATCCGCCCGTCTGTCCCCGTCACTCTCTCAAAGCTTGTCTGGCTCCTTTGATAGAGGCACATCAAAGAGTCCCCCACCAAGGGAGGGTCAGGATGGATGAGGGATGCTTTCAGCACAGCCTCTGGATGTCAAACAGATTAGGGAAGTGACAGCTTGGAAGGCAAGGAATGAGCTTTGTGATTTGCGCTCCTAGAAAAGGCTCTTAAACCTTTAAGATCTTGACAGGATTTTACATGAAAACTGAGAGGACTTTCCCTGTGCTTGTATGTCTTGAAACATCCCTTTGCTGGGCTTGGGCTTGCAACTTGTTGGCTGAAGGGAATTCCTGATGACACGAAAGGGTCTTGTGTTCTGCTGACGGGGTCAGAGCCGTGGGCAGGGGGCTGGGGTGGGGAGAATATTGCCATTGCCAGGGGAATTAAAGAGGAATCTTCCCCAGGAACGAAGTGAATCTTCAATACTTTGCAGCAAAACAACTCTCCTCTCTAAAGCTCGAGAAGCAGCAGCACAGTTCCTTCTTGCTGTGAGTCAGTCCCGTAGCAGTGGGGAGGGAGAGCTCTGGGATGCTCCAGGGTGAACCAGCCCAAAGGATTGGCTTCTGTACTGCAACCACTGCAAAGAGGTGTCTCAGTGTAGGGCTGGAACAGGACTGTAGGACTAGAATCAGACTCCTGTCACTAGGCCAGAGTTTAGCAATCGTGGCTAAGCCAGTGATTGATTTGGATCCAGAGGAACCGCAAAAACATTCCCACTGTGTCCCCATACCTGGCAGAGACCCCTCCCAAAATCAATTATCCACCTTTTCATAGGTTTGTAAGTGTTCAGCATCTAAGAGAAAGGGATGAGGAAAAGGCAAGAACATTGGAGCATCTTGCTGCTTTCTTTTCCCTGGTTTGTTCTCTTTCCAAAATAAATATTTCTTGGTTGACTGAGGCCAAATAGTCCCAGGAATTTTGTTTTCCCATCTGTGTAATAGGCCTCTGCAAATAGAAGTTTGTGCTTTCCTGATCTTCTCTATTTATCACTCCAGTGGCTGTTCAAATTTCCAGCTCTGGGTGGTTTCCTACAAGTCTTCTGGTGCCAGGGCACAGTTCTGTGGGGCGGGTGGGGAGGAGACACAGGCTGATAAAAATCTGTGCCTCATCCTTGCTCTACCTGCTTGAGGTTTTCTCGGAGTAAACTGTTCTTAACTTACCAGTCTTGATGTCAGCACAGTCAGCTGCAGTGTGGCTGGACTTGGAAAAGCACAGGAGGCTTTTGCAAACTCCAGCTGGTGTAAAAGAAGGCTCCTTTTTTCACAGGATTTGGGTGATGCCCTGAGAGCGTTTCAGGACATGGAATGGGAAGATGTCGCGGGGCACGGGTGGCGTTGATGGACTGCGTCCTTTGTCCTGGGAGAGAATCTGAGTTGATTTACTGGTCTTCTGTACTCCAGGTCTTTCCAATGGCCCTGAAGCAATGGAAGTAGATGGTCTCCAGGAAGTTCCCCTCTGTAGCTGTCGAATGGAAACCCCCAAAAGCAGAGAGATCACCACGTTAGCCAACAACCAGTGCATGGCCACGGAGAGCGTGGACAACGAGGTAGGAGCCTGTCTTTTAGCTTCTCACAGCCTTTTGTGCTGAGGACAAAGACATAGAGAGTGAAAAGCTGTGCCAGGAACATGTGTTGGCTCGTGCAGGGGCTCTGTGCCTGCTAGACTGGGCCCCACTGGTGTGGGAATGGCAGGGTGACCATCTCACTTGCTCAGTGAGGGCTCCAGCACTCTGTGTGTGTCCCACTGTGGGGATGAAGCCACGGGGAAGGGAGGAGATGGTGTGTTCTGCAGCGGGAGAGGCTCTGGGTGGGTCTCCCTGCTTGTCTCAGCCTGTGTGGCTGGATCTTGTTGATTGAGAGGCCAAGTAGGCTAAAATACACTCACATGCATCCACGGGAGAAAATCCAATCAGAGGAAGCTTGGAGCTGGTTTTCCTTGACTACAAAGGGGCTGATGCAAACCTTTCCATGGGCAGGTCTTGAGTTTTGGGAACTTGGCATGTGCTCTGCTGCCCCAGCCTTCCCCTCTCTTCCTCCCCTAAGAGGCTTCTGTTCCAAAGCTTCCCCTGTCCTAATTGTGGCCTTCCAGTACCTGAAGGGATCCCACAAGAAAGATGGAGAGGGACTTTTTTACAAGAGCATGGAGTGACAGGACAAGTGGGAACGGCTTCAAACTGCCAGAAGGCAGAGTTAGGTGGGATATTGGGAAGAAATCCTTCCCTGTGAGGGTGGGGAGGCCCTGGCACAGGTTGCCCAGAGAAGCTGTGGCTGCCCCATCCCTGGAAGTGTCCAAGGCCAGGTTGGAGCAACCTGGGGATGGTGGAAGGTGTCCCTGCCCATGGCAGGGGGTGGGACTGGATGATCTTTAATGTCCCTTCCAACCCAAATCATTCTTTGATTCGATGTTCTGGCAGCTCTGTGCAGCCCCAGGTCTGACTGACAGACAACAAGTGCACTCAGTGCCTTTTCATTGGTCACAGCTGAGCTTGATGGGCTCTGCTGGTTCCAGAAGTGTGGAATTAAGTGGCAAAATGACTCCATTCCAGAGTCTGGGAAGTGAGACTGAAGGACAGGGATGCACTTGGTGGATCCTCCTTTTACTGGGAGACACTTGGGTCTCACTGCAGCACCCTGATACTCACTGGTAGTAGGGCAAGGAGTATCTCAAGTTCTCCTCCAGGATCCTTTGAGAAGGGGTGGATGGAGCGAGAGATGGATAATCAGATTTGCAGCCCAGCTCTTCTTGTCTCAGTTCGTGCTGGTACCTACAGAGAGAGGAATTCCCAAAGGGTGGCAAAATTGACTAATTCAAGAGAGAGTGCCCTGGGAGACTTGTCAGAGAGAGGAGGGACCCCAGGGTTCCTAAATAAACACAAGGGACATGGAAGAGTTCCTGCTCGTGTCTACGGTGGGTTGACAGTTCTGTCCCTGGGTAAATCAGAGGGAGGAATGGCAAAGGCCTTGCTTTATGTTGGATTCTTTTTCATAATGGCATAAATGACTCATAGATGTTGTAAGAATACTGTATGTGTGAATAGTGGCTTCTCCAGACTGTCATGTCCTTGAAGAGTATTATAAATAGTTATGAGCACCCTGCTGCACTCTCTAATGGTTGGAAAACAGCAATTAATCATGTCAAACTTCTTGTAGGGTTTCTAACAAATCATGTAGTGTGACATAACAGTGCAGGGTCTTCCTCACACGGAGAGTGCAGCTTTTTACATGTTAATCACATTCCCTCAGCTCAGTAAAATTCCTCCTCAGTAAAGGATCAATGGTCCCCTCGTGCCATCCCTGCAGCCCCTGGACTGAGGTGGTAACTGGGATCAGTCCAGCCAAGGTGTCACAGCCACAGGGAGACTTTGCAGGTGGAGTTTTGATTTGGACACGCCAGAGGTGAATGACGAGCCTGGCTTAAAATCCATTCTCTTTTCCCACGGGGTTGTTGCTTCTACAGGAAAAGTGGGATTTCAAAAAAAAAAAAAAAATTATGGAGAAAGTCTAGTTTTGTTGAGGAAAAGCAGCAAATCAAAGCTCAGCTAGAGCAGAGGGACAGTCTGTGGGTGATGAGCAGGCACCAAGTCCCTGCCTGACTCTGCTCGTGGTGACAACACACAGTAACTGTGTCCCTTCCCTCTGAGGGACCTTTCCATGGAGCAGCCTTTCACCTTTATATTCCTGGTTTATCAGTGTCCTTTAGCAGGCACGTGGGGAGAGCAAGGTCCAGAGGGACCTGAAACAGAACCCGAACAGCATCAGCCGTGCTGGCAGGTGGCACCTGGGATGTGACAGTGGGATGTGTCTGTAGGAATGGGGCAGCAGAAGGAAGTGCTGATCCCTCTGGTGCAGCAGAGCAAGGAACAGTGGTTGGGAATAGGGAACCCCAGCTGTGGAACCTGCTGCCATTAACAGAACAGGTGGGGGCATGAGAAGGTTGGAGAGACAGGACAAGGGGAATGGCTTTAAGCTGAAGGAGGGCAGGTGTAGATGGGATATTGGGAAGGAAATTCTTCCCCGTGAGGGTGGGCAGGCCCTGGCACAGGTTGCCCAGAGAAGCTGTGGCTGCCCCATCCCTGGAAGTGTCCAAGGCCAGGTTGGAGCAACCTGGGGATGGTGGAAGGTGTCCCTGCCCATGGCAGGGGGTGGGATGAGATGATCTCTAAGGTCCCTTCCAGTCCACACCTTTCTCTGATTCGCTTGATTTTTACATCAGTGAAATCCTCTGGAAAACATGCTCCAAATGTGACTTTAGCTGAGCTCTCATGCAAGCCTGGCTCCTCATCCCTGTGGTCTGGGCAGGGGCCAGTGCTGGAACCAGTACAGACGATAAACTTCGCTGGCAACGAGGAGCAATTATTTTCCCCTTTATCTTCCTGTGACTTCTACTTTTGAGCAGTAACAAGATTTAGTGCGAATGGCCTTGTTCTCTTGGTCACTCACACACGCTCTTCCTGGCAAAAGGAGAGCGTGCGTTGCGTGAGTCAGGCCCCTGGGACTGCCCCTTCTGCTGCTGCTTTGGCTCCTGCCTATTTCCAGTGATGATTTTTTTTTTTTTTCTTAATTTCCTTGCAAGCAACAAGCGACTGAGGGGGGGGGGGTGTCCACTTGCATGTTAGTTAGTGAATGATGCATCCCTTCCTGTGAGAGCAGCCCTCCCGGCTTCCTGCTGCACTGCTAACGCTGCCTGGCACGCGTCTGAACCGCTGTGGAAGAGCCAGGGCTCCTCAGGGCAGCGGGCAAGATTCTTCCTCAGCACGAGCACAGAGAGTGTTTTTGGTCTCCGGTAATTTCATCTCCTTTAATTTCTCCCGTTCCAGCTGGGCCGATGCACAAACAGTGTGGTTAAGTATGAACTGATGCGCCCGTCTAACAAAGTCCAGCTTTTGGTGCTGTGTGAGGACCATAGAGGGAGGATGGTGAAACACCAGTGTTGCCCTGGCTGTGGATACTTTTGCACTGCAGTAAGTCCGTGCTCTCAATCTAGGGAAGGGGGTGCCTGTCGCAGTAGCCTGGAAGCTGAAGGTGGAGATGGTACCTAAAAGGGGTTTACTGACTCCCTGGCATCAGCTGCACCTCGTTCCACAGCACATCAGGAGGCGTTTTCGGTAGGAATGTGTGTGAGGGTAGCTGAAATCGTCGCCTTTACCTTCCTGGAGACCCCCAAGGGGTGTTACAAAAAGGGTTTTGGCATGGTGGAAGTCTCGCCTTAGGAATTCCTTTGGAGCAAGGGTTTGTTTTTTTGGTTTTGTTTTTCTTTTTTTTTTTTTTTTTGTGTTCTCAGTCACACAAAAAAGTGTATTAGCTTGGTTTGGAAAAGAATCTGTGAGCCCTCTGTGTCCCCCTCCCTGGTTTAGGTGGGGAACCTGAGTGATGGCACTGGACCAAGGCAGTGTTTGAGATCTCAATTAGATTAGATTAGATATTAGGAAGATAGATTAAATATTGGGGAACAATCTTCCCTGTGAGGGTGGGCAGGCCCTGGCACAGGTTGCCCAGAGAAGCTGTGGCTGCCCCATCCCTGGAAGTGTCCAAGGCCAGGTTGGAGCAACCTGGGGATGGTGGAAGGTGTCCCTGCCCGTGGCAGGGGCGTTGGAATGGAACTGGATGATCTTTAATGTCCCTTCCAACCCAAACCAGTCTGTGTTTCTATGATCTCCTGCTGCTTCTTCCACCTCTGACACCGAGGCTTCTACTGCTCTTGGTCTGGTCCTTTAGTGGTCACTGTCCTTGTTTCCCTGTTGGTAAAGCTGAAAGGCCCCAACTGAGGCCTCACAGGGTGATGATGAGCCTTAATTGTCCGATGCTGGTGTTTTTCAGGATGACTCCAGGGAAGATGCTGCAGTAGTGTCAAGCATTACTGTAGTAAATGGAGCCATCCTGGGTTTTCCTGCTGAGTCAGAGATCATTGGAAAGACAAAATCCTTAAAACCCTTTAAGGCATTTTGCAAAGCTGAAATAGAGTTAATTAGGTTGCCTGGGAGGACTGTGAGTTCAGGAGAAGATTGGCCTTTCCTTGCACGCTTGTACACCTCTCAGTGCCTTGTCCTGGCCCACAGGGGTGAACCTGGGGGTGTCTGTGCCATCCATCAGTAACCCAGAGCCCAGCAGGGGCTCAGGTACCACTGATACCACAGGGCAGGGAATTCTGGGGTCCCTGCAGCCCAGCTGGAAGGACTTTGCTGGAAAGGGAAAATAATTTGAAGAGAAGTTGCCCAGTTTGTTGCATGAGCAGTCAGTCACCTTACTGGGGTTAAACAGCAGATGGGGCTGGTCCAGACAGAGAACTTGCATAATTTAGGTTGCACTGGGGTCAGCGACCGATTTAATGAGATTCACGTAGATCCTTTTGTGTGCAGCTTTGTTGGGTGGTTTTAGTGCTGGCTCAGCACACAGGCCTGAAGTTTCCCTTTGCAGTTTTGGGGGCGTCCTTACAGTGCACTGGCACTTCTAGAAACAGAAGCGACAACTTCAAGCGTTTGAGGAAAGAGCTGGAAATTGGGACCTCTCGGGTCTCTTTCCCAAGCACAATTCAAAAAAAAAAAAAATCTTGCTTTGCAGTCCCTAACCAAGTGAGTTTTGTTTTGTTTTGTTTTTTTTTTTTCCCTCTTCACCTTGGTTTTGTTCTCTTCTCAAGAAGTGGCAGTGCTTGCTTACTGTACTGGACGCAGCAGGGGCAGGAGTGGTGGTGAATGGAGCATGTGGCAGGGGCGAGGGCGGCGGCGGGCGAGGTGTGAATCCCTTTCCTCTGTGGTTCTTGCAGGGCACTTTCATGGAGTGTCAGCCGGAGAGCAGCATCTCCCACCGCTTCCACAAGAACTGTGCCTCCCAGGTCAACGACACGAGCTACTGCCCACACTGTGGGGAAGAGGCCTCCAAGGCCAAGGAGGTGACAATAGCAAAGGCTGACACGACCTCCACGGTGTCCCTGACCTACGAGCAGCAGAAACCAGCGGCCGTGGAGGGAAGGGCCGACACCACGACGGGCAGGTGAGCTGGGGTGGGGGGGGGGTAGGGAGGATCTCAAACCTCGTGCCCAGACCGGGCTTTGAATTTGAATTCTTGCCCTCCTCCTGATGAGCAAAGGGCTTCCTGGTCCTGCTCTCACAAGCCAAAGCTCAGCTGCAGGGACCTGCAGGTGTGTTCTGTGTTGCTGTGTTCACACCAACCACAGGGTGAGCTGGGGCAGAGGCACCGGGGATGGGGGTGTTCAGGATTTAAACATTCCCTCCTCTTATGGATTAATTCCATTCTTAAGGAGTGGAACAGCAGTGGGACTGGCTGATGTTGCCAGGTCTGCTCAGTGACAGGGACATTCCTGGCTGTAGCTCTGTAGCTCCTGGCTCACACCGGTGAGCACTGGTGTAAAGAGGGGAGGAGGGCAAAGAGGAGAACACAAATCAAGCCAACCCCGTGCTGGACAGTGCTCTGACTTCCCATCCCATCTGGGCTTGTTCAGGTGGCTTTTTTTGCCTTGCCCCATGTTCCTGGTTTTCCTGTAGCACAGAGTCCATCAAAGTGTAATCACTGGGCAGTGCAGTTCCTTCTTGGGCAAGTTCTTACCGAAAAAGCTGTAAAATATATTGGTTTGTATCTGGATTCCAGTTACACTTATCTAAAGTGTAGCATTGAAAGTATTTAAAATGCATTTGCGTTCCTTCTTTGGCATGAGATCCACGCTGTAGTGTATTTTTAATGGTTGTGCTTTGGCTGTCTCTAATTTTACCTCTCCAGTGGCACTGGGACACGGTTGTCAGAGGAAGACAAGCCAGAAAGTTCAGCTGCTGAGGGGTTTGACATGGCTGGGTCTTCAGTTTTTCCAAAGCCTACTACAAGCCTGACCCAGGGACCAGTTAAAGAAACTCTGGAAAGTGCCCTGATTGCCCTGGACTCCGAAAAGTAAGAAAAAAAACCACTGGGTCTCTCCAGTTCCCATGAAAGTTGCTTAACTAGAAAAAATTGGATTTAGCTTCTCTGGACTTTGGTCCCACTCAGAGCTTCTTTTGTTCGCTCGTTTGTCACCCCCAACAGATTTGGGAGAACTGTTACAGCTCTAAAGGTCTTATTGATTTCTGTGGAGGATTTAGTTTTTCCCTGGCATCTGTAACTGCTGGAAGTTCCTGTTCACAGCACTGAGACCCAGAATTTGTTGTTGAGTGGCACTGAGTAGATCTGGCCCTCACTGGAACAAGGCTGGCTGGGGTCAGAGCTGGAAGTTTTAAGACCTCCTTGTGGAGGTTTGTTCCTCTGTTTTGCTGGTGCTCTGGAGCTGTATCATGGAATCACAGAGTGGTTTGGGATGGAAGGACTGTAAAGACCATCCAGTACCACCCCCTGCCATGGACAGGGATACCTCCTAGTAGTCCGGGTTGCTCCAACCTGGCCTTGGACACTTCCAGGGATCCAGGGGCAGCCACAGCTTCTCTGGGCAACCTGTGCCAGGGCCTCCCCACCCTCACAGCCAAGAATTTTTTTCCTTCCATCTGACCTAACCCTGCCCTCTGGCAGTGGGAAGCCATTCCCTCTTGTCCTGTCCCTCCATCCCTTGTCCCAAGTCCCTCTCCAGCTCTCCTGGAGCCCCTTTAGGCTGTGCAAGGGGCTCTCAGGTCTCCCTGGAGCCTTCTCTTCTCCAGGTGAGCACCCCCAGCTCTCCCAGCCTGGCTCCAGAATGTCTCCAGCCCTTGGAGCATCTCTGTGGCCTCCTCTGGATTTACTCCAGCAGCTCCATGTCCCTCCTGTGCTGTTCCCCAGAGCTGGAGGCAGCTCTGCAGGGGGGTCTCACCTGAGTGGGGCAGAGGGGCAGAATCCCCACTCCCCTCCTGCCCACGCTGTGGGATCAGCCCAGGGCACCATAGGACAGACTTGGTCATGCACGTGGGGTGGCAGGGGGGGTGACATGCCTGCTGTGCTCTTCACTGAGCATTAACTCCTCCTCTTTTCCCCCCTCCTGCAGGCCCAAGAAGTTACGGTTCCATCCGAAGCAGTTGTACTTCTCTGCCAGGCAAGGGGAGCTGCAAAAGGTCCTGCTGATGTTGGGTAGGTGCCTCCTTCCCAGGACAGGGCCTGGCTGGCAGCACTCCCAGCTCCTGCCAGGCAGCTGCCAGTGTCCAGTTCCCAGCATGGCCCCACGTCACGTTCCCCACTGCCCCCTGGGAGTGGAGCTGGAGGAGAAATCCACCCCTGTGAGTGATGTGTCAGTGGAAATGGCTTCATCTCCCTGTGGAATGTGGGCTGTTCCCAACTTGTTTCTGTGTTTGAGCCACTGTTTTATCCAGAGAAGCTGGTTGTGTCCCCAAAAATGACCTACATGTGGTTTTACCAGTCCAGCAGAACTTTTCCTCTCTGTGCAATGGGATAGATGGATATTTGCATCCAGGGGAGAGGTAAAAAGAGGCTAGTCAGCTTAAACTGAGACCCATCAGCAGGAGAGCAAAAAAGAAGAGCCTTCAGGGGTTGTTTTGGGGCTTCATAGTTGTCTGTCACCAGATGACTCTGAGCTGCTGAGCCTGTTTTTACCAACAAATATCCCTGAGGAATCTCCCCCTTTGAAGGACACAATGTTACCTCAGGATCATTTCCTTTCCACTGCCGGACTTTGATGTACATTTTTGGACACTTCCTGTTCTTGTCATTTATCAGTTCCTTCTTTTTTTTTTTCTTTCCTTTTTTTTGTCTAGCAACTGTTTGCTCCATTGTTCCTTTCTTCCATAGGACAAAAGTGTTATTCATTGATATTTAACTATGGCCTCATCATATGCAACATGTTATCATGCCCAGACATCTTTGTCTGCCTGTCAGCATCATCTCTCAGTCTTTGCACAGCTGTGAGAATCTCTGGCCAGATCCCAAGCTTGTGTTAGTTGGAGAAGTTCCATCCATGTTGTAGCCCTGTGTTTGCAGGGATGCAGCAACAATCACTAATATTAATTGCAGTTAATAATGGTGAGGCAAAAAAGTCCAGGTAGCACCAACTCTTCATTTGCAACTTCTGTGTTGCTTTAAACAAAGCAGCATTTTTAATTTTCCTTATGTTCTTGTGTAGTGCTGCGTTTGAGATGAATTGAGAGTCTGAGGGACATGGCCTGTGCAGATATTGTAATGCCTTAAAGGTCTTAAGTTCCAGGGTGTTTCTGAAGTTCTTGGTTTGAGCGTTCACAGAGTCCCAGAATGTGCTGAGTTGGAAGGGACTCACAAGGATTGTCGAGTCCAACTCCTGGCACTGCACAGGCCCATCCCCAAGGGTCACCCCCTGTGCCCCAGAGGATCATCCAAACCCTCCTGCAGCTCTGGCAGCCTTGGGGCTGTGCCCACTGCCCTGGGGAGCCTGTTCAGTGCCAACCACCCTCTGGGGGAAGAACCTTTCCCTGAGATCCACCCTGAGCCTGCCCTGACACAGCTCCAGCCATTCCCTGGGGGCTGTCCCTG